TCTCTCTCTCTCTCTCTCTCTCTCTCTCTCTCTCTCTCTCTCTCTCTTTCCCTCCCTCTTTCCGACATGGGTGACATCTGTGAAGGTGGAGAGTAGAGAGCAGAAAGGACGGAAACTTGAGAGGTGCTGTCAGGGTGGGTGACTGTCTTAATTCCTCTTGACCGGATACATTGAAAAGAATGAGATTGTTTGCTAGAGTTCTAAAGACTGAGGAGCGTCAAAGTGTGGGCTCTGCATCTAAGGAATTATTCCTTGTTTTGCTATCCCAGGGCAGAACAGGGAAGGACCAGAGAGCACAGTGAGAATAAGAAGCCAAGTTGGTCACAGGACCCTGCTCCTGTGATTATGACACTAACCCAGTCACAGAGGCAGAGGCCCTGTGCCCCAATACCTCTTACCTCCCCTTCCCAACACAGGTGCATTGAAGATTAACTTAATAGTGAACCTTGATAGACACATTCCAACAACACTTGATAAAGAAAAGATCAAGAGGGGCTAGAGAGATGGCTCAGCAATTAAGAGCAATGGCGGCTCTTCCAGAAGCCCTGAGTTCAATTCCCAGAAACCACATGGTGGCTCACAACCATCTATAATAGGATCTGATACCCTCTTCTGGCATGCAGGCATACGTGGAGAGCACTCATACATAAAAAGTATAAATAAATATTTTTTTAAAAAATGGGGATCAAGATGATATCAGTTCTGATGTGGGTACCTAGATAGATCTGTTGGAGGGAGATTGAAGAGACGTGCCCTAGAGAAGAATCATGGGCCTAGTTCAAATTCAGATGAGTTAGATTATAGGTGGGGATGTCTTATAGACAGGCCTAGTTTCCCCTGACATCTAAGAAGAAGAACATCTCTGTGTATAGGAAACCACGTGTGAAGGTCTCTACTCTGGATCTGAATAAAGGAGAAACAAGTGCTGAACCATCCCCACTCAAGCGACAGAGACTACAGTTAGGTATGTGAAGGGGCCATACCTGAAGCATCAGGATGGGACCATCATATCTCTACCCTGTCTCTGATATGGGGCAAAGAAGGTTCCCTATTGAAAAAAGAAACACCTTCTTGCAAAACCTTTCACATTTAGAATCTAGAGGAAGGATTTCTGCTTTCTTCTCTCGCAGTGTCAGGGTCCAGTGCTACGCTTCACACATGTCTAGGCTATGCTTCACACTCTATACCAGGGAACCATGTCCATTGTCAGGGGGGAAGGCCTGGAACTCACCTATCCGGCCCTGCCCAGCCATCTTCTTTCAACCTGTCTCTGGAGAAATGCTGGAGAGAGGAACACTGGGCCACAGGGAAGAAGGAAGGCAAGGCCTTAGGCAGAAGCAGGTGCCGAGGTTTGGGGGTTGGTCCTCAGAAGGTAAGCTGTGAAAACAAGAAAAAGGGAGATAGATGCAGGAAGGAAGGGGAAGAAGGAGGGCTGACAAGGAGAGGGAGAGAAAATTGAAAGAAACAGAGAAGCCCCAGGAGCAGGGACAGAGACAGCAGACACATTCCCCGCTGTAGCCAGGTCTCAGGAAGAGCCTATCCCTAGTCTAGCAGGAGACAGAGGCTGGGGAGACATTCCTGGATGATAAAGCATGGCCACTTTCCTGCCTCTTCCAGAGGATGCTCCAAAGATAGCAAGTCTACCCACGGCACAGCTGAAACTCCCCCACTTGCTTCACTCTTTTCCGGGAAACAAGCTCACAGAGTCTCTTGAGACTGAAGATGGCTTCTGGGGTAGCACAGGACCTGTGGCTACTGAGGTGGTTGACAGAGAAAGGAACCTGTACCGGTGAGTGAGCTAGCCTTCTCCATTCCAGTCCCCACAAAGGATTCCAAAGACAGAACACAAACCAGTCCCCCATAGCATGACTCCTCTCCTTACCAGGCCAGCGGGCAGGGGCAGGGCTGAGACAGTGGGCGTGTCCCTTTTACGGTGAAAAACTAAGCTTAGAGGTGAATGTTTCCAAACACTGACATAAGTAAAGAGCAAAATGCTTCCTCATCCTGTTAACCTAGCTTTGCCAGACTCTTTTCAACCACTCTCATTCAGTCTCTCTCGTTACTATTACAGTATTTTAAGTCTCCAGTATCTGGTGATCTCTCCATAAACATTTCACTAAGAATCCCTCCAAAACTAAAACAAGGTCTTCCATAGCTAGCATGGCACCACATCTAACAAAGCTGGCAATCTTTCGTTTCAATTAAACAGACCACACCCTGGGCTTACATTTGTTCAAGGGCGTGAAATGTCTTTTTTACAGGTGATTATTTTAATTGCAACGCAATTAATTTATGTTTGGCGTGTCATGTCTCTTAAATTTCACTTAAACCCTTGTATCCTAATGATCCTGCTCAGCTAACAACCGCTGTGTGCCATGAACCCACTAGAAGCTACGAGCATCAGGATGAATACAGCAGCCCTGCTCTCCAAGGACCATAGTCCCATGAGGAATGAGTGACTTGGGCTTCCATAATCTATTACCTTCCTCCAACATGGTGATGCTCACTTGTCTCAGCTGGAGAAACGGTCACTCTTGACTTCCTCCCTTGGAAACTGTCTCTTGCCCTCCTGCCAGTCACCAAATGGGGAGCCTTTGAGAAAGTCACTAAAGGTCCCAGTAAAGCGCTGTTTCAAGGCCAAAAATTTATCATTACTAGTAACATATGCCTTAGCATATGCTCATTTTTATTTAGTGGGTTTGTGTGAGCACACACAGCCATTTTCAGGCTTGGCAGAAAGTGCCTTTACCTGCCAGGTCATCTCTCCAGCCTTAGCCCCTTATAAAGAAATACACTTTTTAAACATTGCTACAGCCCACAAGGCCACACAGTGAGAAGTACAGCTGACAAGTCTCTAGACTAACTCCCAGTTAGTTCCAGTGAAGGAACCTGATTGGCAAGGCTCCGGGAATACCTGTCTTTTGAATAGTCGCTGTCATTTCTGTAAACCCTTGTGGAGTCATAGCACCTCTTTTCCATAGTGGGATTTTTCCAAAAAAAAAAAAAACTCAACAGTGCACTAATTATTGAGCGTAACTCCCTTCCGTATGGTTACTGGATGGCCTTACCCCATAGCGTAGGGCCCTGGTATAAAAATATTCATTCAAAAAACCTGTGTTCTCACAGTCAAATCTACATAAAGTTAGTCCCCCACAATCATCCTTTATGACAGGACATCTGACAAGGAGAGAGACATGGCAAACAGACCACATTTGGTCTCCAAAGACAGGCACTGACTGAATAGGAGAGAGCAAGTCTGCCCTTACTAATAAGCGTGACCTGGCAACCCTGAATTCTCTAATAGCCAACTCAGGAGAGTGTAACCTTCTGGCCTTTATTCTACCCAAACAAGCTATTAACGTTCTGTACTTTCCTTTATCTCACTTTCGTTTGACACCAGAACTTAGTCTAGGAAATTAACTGTTTGTGCCTTTACCCCTAGAGATACAGGAAAGATACTTGAATCACTAAACCAGCCCCAGAGAAAGGAACTCCTTCTCACCTGCGCACCAGCAGGTACAGCGCCCTGCCTCTCAGCGAGGGGTTGGAAAGGGCAGTCTCTGGACTTTACATAACCATGCTTTTCACTCTGATCTAGTGCTAAGAAATGTCCTTTAATTCAGTTAGGAAAAAAGAAACCACCAATACAAAACAAGCACCATCCGCTACCCTCCTTCCCCACTCTGGTTGCCATGGTTACCACAATCCTGCTTTCCCAGCCACTGCAGAAGGAAGCAGCAGCAGAAGCGCTCAGAGAGTCCAACAGCCCTGCCGTATTTTATTCCCTTTTTTCCTACACTTATTAATTAGTAAGAAATGTAGTTAGTACACAAAAAAAAGCTTTTCTTCTTAGAATTCTATACTAATTTAAATCTCCCTCCTTAATTAATCTTCCCAGTATCTGCCTGGGTGCTCCATAGTCACACCTGCTATGAGGCATAAGTAAGCTAAAACAGACCCCTACTTTGTCAGACTTATCTGGTTTTGTGGTTCTGTGAAATGCATGTTTGGGGGTTAGAGAGATGGCTCCGCAGTTGAGAACACTGACTGCTCTTCCAGAGATCCTGAGTTCAATTCCTAACAACCATATGGTGGCTCATAACCATCCATAACAAGATCTGGTTCCCTCTTGTGGCCTGCAGGCAGACATACAGGGGAAGGGCCCGCTTGTTCATCCTGGCCGCGGCTAGCTTAGACCTGAAATAACCACACAGAAATTGTACTAATTAAATCCCTGCTTGGCCCGTTAGGTCGAGTTTCCTATTAGCTAATTCTTACATCTTAATTTAACCCATTTCTATTAATCTGTGTATCACCACGTGGCAGAGGCTTACCGGGTAAAATTCCCAGTGTCTGTCTCTGGCAGATCCATGGCGTATCTCCAACTCGGCCCTTCTTTCTCCTAGCATTCAGTTCTGTCTTCCCTGCCTACCTAAGTTCTGCCCTATCAACAGGCCCAAAGCAATTTCATTATTAATCAATGAAAGCAACACAAAGACAAAAGGAACTCCTACACCAGCAGAACACTGCATACATAATAAATAAATCTTTAAAAAAAAAAGAAATGCATGCTTGGTATCGTTATTATTGCCTAAAGAATTGCTAATTGTGTCTGTATGTATATATACTTATATAATTCATATATATGCATACATACATACATACATATGTATATATAAACTGGAAGCCTTGTGGGGAGCAGGAACTTTTTCAAAGAATGAAGAGACATGAGTAGAATAAAGAGACATGAGGAGGAAATGTGTTTGAGCTGATTGGTTCACCCTCAGACCTTTTTAGCCAGTTTTCACTCTCTGTTAGCATCCTGTTCTGAATCCTGAGGGGTGCTAAGGCTGAAACTCAGAGGCCCCGATAAAAAAAATAAGAACACTAAGAGCTGAAAATGTAGCCAATCAGTGGAGCTCTTGCCTACCATATAAAGTGTATTGAGTTTGACCCCCAGAACTTAAAACACACACACACACACACACACACACACACACACACACACACACACAC